CCACTTCTCTTCCTTTTTTTTTTCTTTAATCCCTGACCCCTTATTTCCTTGAGCTAGTTAAAATTGATTTCCAGACTTCTGAATAAGGGGCGCATTGGAAAGATTGTCAATCAACAAGATTAGCAAGTAGTCAGGGGCCTTTCCAAGAGGACCGAATGATCTCAATCTCCATAGGAAGAGCTTGGAGACTTTCAAGAGTCTTGAACAACCAGTGTTGTGGGTGTGTGCATGTGTATGCGCACACTTTAAGCTTCAACCCCAAACTAGGGAGTGGCTTTGCTTGTGTTCCGTGATTGGATCTAGGAATTCACGGATCCATGTAGAGAGCCATGGTTAGCAGACGTGGCAGCTGAGACCATGTCACACAGGCCACCCAAGCCATCTCACGTCTCATTGGTGAAATCTCTTTTGTTTCACACTTTAAAAAATGTTTCCATCTGAAAATTTTGAATTTCCTTCTCCAAAGACCTTCTGTGTCCCCTGCCCCCATCACACCTTGTGTCAGTATAAGTTTTCTCAAATACCATTAAAAAAACCAAACAAAACAAAACACCACTCTCTTGACTAGGATCTCTCAGAGACTCATTTCTGGTTAAAATGTTTAGTCCAGCCTCACAGCTGGGCACTCTGCGCTTCCCTCGGAGGACACCTCGACGTCCTCTGCCCAGGGCCGTCCCTTAGCATGATGCATTCCAACTCAGCGGTTTTCCTTTGCTGTCCCTCCTGTGATTCTTGTCAAATCCTGTCTTGATTTCCCACTTCTTCCTCAAGTCCTGGCTACTACTGCTACTAGTGGACATCTGCTGAAAGTCTGCACAAAACTCAGTATTGGGCAAAGTACCTTACAGCCTCAATCCTCCAGAGCATCCGGTGGAGGTATTGCTCTATAGGCTGGGAAAACGGGGCCTCGTGAGCTAATGTTCTCACCTGAAGACCACACAAGAAAAAGTGCAGAACCAGAATTCAGAATTCAAGTTTAGGGCGGTGGCGGGCTGGAGCAGGGGCTCTTGGCCACCGTCCACTCTCCTCTCTCTTGTGGCAGGACCCGCCTGGCTCACAGCAAGGCCTGTAAGAAAGGTCTTTTCTGTGTTTTATTCATGCTTTGTTCCTTCTGTCCTTCAGTTTAGCTCCCAAGAGGCTTCCTCATCTAAAGCACCCCATTCTGATTATTCTATAGCCTTTATTCCCTCTAGCATGACATTGGAGTTTGGTCTTGCACCCCGGCCCTGTCGTGCCATTGTTGATCCCTGGTTTTGTGTCTGTCATGCCTTATCTTTTCACCTCTACTGTGTTTTTAAATATCTATATGCTGCCTAGATCCATAGGTGTCCAACACTTATCAAATAAATGACTTCACTTTCTAGCATGTTCTCTAGGCTGATACTTCCCCCCCCCCCACACACACACATAGTGGGAAGCTTAAAGGCAGCAAAACATATATTAAAACACACATATCTCATCTGTATAAATTTGCACTGAGTGGGGTGCTTCTCAGGGTAGAATCCACAGACCCTGGGGGATCCCTTACACCATTTAAGCAGAGGGAAAACTCGGTGGGGGAGGTGTCAAAATATTTTCAGCACATTAAATGTCATTGGACTTTTTTAAACTGCGTTGACAATGATGGCACAGATGCAATGATGGGATAAAACTGCTGGTGCCTGAGTATGGACCAAGTCACTGGTCCCAGACTGTGCTAAATGAACAAACCAACCAACCAACCAGTGCCCGTCTCACTGAAGAATGGCCTTGATATGGCAGTAAAAGTGATTAATATTTTTAAACCTTAGACCTTGAGCACACATCCCTTCATCATGTGGGGAAAAGCAGGAAAGGGTCCCCACGATGCTTCTGCTGTGGGGTGCGGTGAGGGGGTGTCTGGAGGGCAAGTCGTCCTGTGATTGAGTTGTGCGCTGAACTAGCTGCTTTTTCATGAAACTCTGTTTTTAACTTGAAAACATCTGACAGACAGACTGGTTATTCAGACCTGGGTCTTTGGCAGACATTTTCTTTTAAAAAATGAACGAAGGGAGCCTGTCACTTCTAGGAAAACAACTGACAGCATTTGCTGCCAGGGAGCTTTCAAGCAAAAATTAGAGTTTTGGAAAACTCGTATCCAGCACTATGAGACTGACAGCTTCCCAAGGCTTCAAGATGCTTCGGGTGAGGCTGATGGTGATATTAACGCACATGAGTTTTGTTTTGCTGTTATGTAATGTATGTCAACAATTGGAAGACTTGCATAAATTAATGAAGTGATATTTTCCAAGTGATCAATGCACAAGAAAAAAAATTTATTTCAAAGTGAAGAATAGATGGATGGATTTTAATATAACCAGTAGGAGAAAGTTTATCAATGTGGTTTCAGATTCCATAAAACAACTAACCTTTGAGAAGCTAAACTTGTTGAGTCTTGTCATACTATAGAAGAATATCCACAATTACCAGAGAAGGCTGTAAAGTACTCTGCCCTTTTCCAACTACATATCTGTGTCATACTGCATTTTCTTCTTATGCATCAACCAGAACAAAAATCTCAGCATATTAAATGCAGAAACGGAAATGAGAATTCAGCTATGTTCTATTAAACCAAAGAGTGAAGAGATTTACAAAACTATAAACAATGCCATTCTTGTGACTGTATTCTTCTCCAGAAAATAGCTGCTTTTCATAAAATTATTTGTGACAACATGCATCAGATTTATTGTTGTTTTTAAAAAAAGAAGTAATAAATTTTTTTTTAAATTATCAGTTTAAATTTCCAATATATTAAAATTTAATACATACAATCCTCATGAACAAAAGCATTTTGGGGTCCTCAAAGTTTTTATAAGTTTGAAATGGGAAACCAAATCTTTTGAGAGCTATTGTTAAACACAGCTGTGGAGACAGTGTTGCAAAGGAGAAGTGCCATTGCTTCTCTTCTTTCTTGAAAAACTATCATCAACATCTACCTAGTTCTACAACCTGGTCCCTGTTGGCTCCTCTTCCTGAATATGGTAAAGATTCACCCACTTCTCTCCATCCCCGTCTCCTCTTCCACGTCACAGTCCAGGTCACAGGAGGAATGGCTGTTTAGTCAGCTTTTTCACTGCTGTGAAGAAAGGACCCACCCAGAACAACTGTAGAGGAAGAAAAGTTTATCTGAGGGCTCAGGGTTTCAGAAGTCTCAGTCCATAGACAGCAGGCTCCATTCCTCAGAGCTTGAGGTGAGGCAGAACATCATGGCGGAAGAGTGTGGCAGAGGGAAGTAGCTCATATGGTGATCAGAAAGCAGAGAGGGGAACTCTACTTGCCAGATTCAAAATGTCTACCCCAAAGCCACTCCCCCAATGCCCCACCTTCTCTAGCCATACCCCACTGGCCTTCAGTTACCACAAAATTAATCCCATAAGGTGATTAATTCACTAATTAGGTCAAGGCTCTTGAAACCCAATCATTTCTTCTCTGAACCTTCTTGCATTGTCTGACACGTGAGCTTTTGAGGGCACCTCACATCCAAACCATGACACTAGCATAATATCCCAGGTGTTTTCCACAACCCGAGTAGTTCCCTCCTATGTTAAATCTCACTCTAGACTTGGCTATGTGGCTTGCCTGGACCAATAGAACCATGGCAACAGGATTTAGGAAGAGTCTTGACAATCACCAGAGTTGGGACTTGGTCTCACCGACTGCTTTTGGAGTTTTACAATTGCCATGATATGAACACACCTGGCCAGTGACAGAGGTGTGACTCAGTCTCCTTTATCACTTCCTTAGCTTGGTACCTGGCAGTTGACTGTAAATAGGTACATCAGTGAGCCCAGCTCAGACCAGCAGAACTACTCAAGTGAACCCAGCCTAAGTTTCTGAACCACAGGAGTTTATGCTAAAAAATGGTTGTGCTTTAAGCCTCTGAGTTTTTGATTTGTTATTGTTTTGGTGTTGGGGGCAGTTTGTTAAGCAGCAGGTGCTAACTGATACACCACCATCATTCCCTGTCTGGGTTACTACAATGTTCCCTTCATTATCTCCTACCTTCTAATCTCTCTCTTCTCACTTCTCGTTTTTTCTTCATGCAGTCACTAGAAAGATCTTAGATGAAAACTTCCAATGGCCCTTCATTATCCTTGGAGTGAAATGTGAGCCCCATAGCTTGGATGGCTTACGGGCCCATGCTGATCTGGCCCCTGGTGACCTTTAGATGAGTTCATTTCAGTCTGTTTTGCTTCCTGAGCATCAGCCACATGACCACCTCTCTGCCTCAAGCATGGCAGCTTCTCCTTCACCCGGGGATCTTGCCCAGATCACAGTCCCTCTGGCTCTTTGCCTGAGTGGTTCATTTTCATCCTTCAGTCCTCAGATCAGAGTTTGGTCCCTGGTGAGACCTTCTCTGACTGCTCGATCCTCAGTGTCGTCCCTGCTCTTCCCCGTCACAGATGCCCATCACTCCTCTTAACCCTCACCTCTCATTTATTATCAGAACTTCATCTCCTCTGTGCACTGATATGCTTCTAGCTCCTCCAGCAATGCTTGACCCATCAGAGGATTTCAGCAAATGCTCAACCAATTACTGATGAGTGGGGAAAGAGGGCAAAATCTCTCAGGGCTGGACCCACTCATAGAATCCTGTGTGGGGGGCATACTTTGAGGAATGGCCTCTTTCCCCCAAATCTTGGCATCCTGATTCAAGAAAACACAATGTGATACAATATAGTGCTCTTTAAACTTGCTGATGCAAGAATCACTCATATTAATAAGGTGCAGAGCTTGGGTCCTATTGAATCAGAATCTCTGGAGCAGATACCTGGGAATCCATATTTAAGCCAAGTTATTCTTAGGATTAACAGGTAGGGGCACCACTGCCCAAATGGCCATAGTGCAGGATTAGAGTCAGGAAGTGCTGGTTTTCAGTCCTGCCCTGGGTCTTGCTGGTGGAATCACCTTAATTCTCTCCTTCCCCACTCCCTCACTCACTCATTTACTCACTCACTCTCTAATTCATTTCTTTAATGCAGTTTTATTGGGCACCAGCTATGCTCAGGCACAGCTCTTGGTGATGGAGATGCAAGAATGGGCAAGATCCATAAGGATCGGGCGCTTCATGGGACTCAGCTGGGGACAGGGAAGACAAAGGAGCAAAGTGATTTCAGGTAAGATAAATGCCATTTCCCAGATGAAAAATGAGAAGGCAGTCCAGGTGCTGGGTAGGTACTAGAGGATGTTTTCAGATTGGATGGTCAGGAAAGACCTCCTCTCTGAGAGGGTGGGCATTATGCTGAGATAGGATGAGAAGACTCTGGTCTAGAGATGATGGATCAGGTCAGCATCCCAGACAGAGGGAGCATGCCAAGCCCCCAGCCTCAGTGAGTCTTCTTCCTCTGTAACCTCTGTAACACAGTAGGAACCGGTCACGCTCTTGGATTACTTAGGGGTATCTGATGCTAGAGCTCTGTAGTACCTGATACTCGATACTTGGTTGCTACTCAGCACTTTTTATATCCTTCTTATTTGGGGGCAGGAGATGAGATAACCACTCCTTCATTTCTGCAACAACTACTAAGGTGTGTGAGGCCTGTGCAGGTAAGAGGTTCTCTCCACAAGGGGCATATGGCCTGGGAGGTGTGCTGAAGCTTGCAGAGGGAATGGGCCAAAGCAGAGTGGGAAGTGATGTGTGGAATGATCCCCATCCTCCAAGGAGTTTTGATGGGACCAAAAGACAAGGTCTGGAGGGTGGCTCAATGCCCAGGGCCTCTTAGGATGCTCTTTCTGGGGCTATGTGGAGACATCAAGGTGTCAGAAGGACTAGAGGGGTTTAGAGAGGTGATTGAAATGGTCCTGGAGATGACCCAGGTTTATTGAGGATCGATTTTAATTGCAGGTTTTGAGTTACTTTTTCAGCACTAGAACTAAAAATCACACGAAGCCACATGGAACAATAGAGTTGATTGATTTAGTTCAACAACTGCTTCATCGGGACAGGGAATTAGGTATTTAATTGAATTGACTGGCTGTTGAGGAATTTTGTATTAGCAAAATCACTAAGGTATAGTGGTTTGGGCCATGTCCTTTCCTCATGTGGTCAAATTTGGTTTTGTTGGATGATCGTTTACCTCATAAACCATAGGACAAAAGGTTGGAATTGTTTTAATAAAATGCTGCAGTAATATCATTAAATAGGCTAGAAGCAATAATGTCAAAGCCAGTCTCTGGTAGTATCAGGAGCACTTGGGACCCTGTGTCACCAGAGTGGAAGTCATTAATATAATATTGTGGCTTTGAGCCAATTTTGAAGTTGTGAAAAACAAATTGTTGTGCCAACTCAAAAAGACAACTCTATGCATGTTTGGAATTACTAAATTGTATGCTTGACTTTGGTCAGAATTACTAGTGCATTTTGTATAGCACATGCTGATAAATAATAATCACACTTGAGCATTGTGAAGTATCAGTACAATTGCTCTCACGTTTGATATTTTCCTAAGTGTCTTTAAAATTTCTTTTAATTTACATTAAGTTTTTTGTTTCTTTTTCATATACTGTAAATAGATTACGAGCTGGTTAAATTCCAGATTATTTTTATGACCTATTTTTCACAGAAGGCTGTTTTCAGTCAAGGGCTCCCTCCCTCATCAGTTTTTATGAACACTGAAGGCTATTCTCATATTTGGAAAGGGTCGAAGATTATTTTGAGATAAGTCAAAGTAGAAACATTTGTGGGCATCAAAGAAACCTTGACATTCCTAGAAAAAAATGAGCCCTATCTCTGCGTTTCCCTGGTCCCCCACAACAATCCAGCATGCGTTAGGCAGGAAAGCGTTCAACCCAGGACAGCAGTGCGGAATGGCAGGGCCTACAGCACATCATGCCTCTGCTCGTCCCCATGGGCTGACCACAGACTCAGGAGAATCAGTCTCAAGTGCCGAGGGGAGTGTCGGGGCTGACTCTGTCTCTGACATCCGTGTGGGATTTGGGGGAAGTCGATCCAGATCTTTAAAATTTCATGTTCTTTTTCTTTTACAAAGTGAGGTGATTGGACTAGCTCTGTAGTTTTCAAACTTACTGTTGCTGTCACAGTTTTTCTTACACTCACTGGGGACTGTAAGCGAATGGAGCAGATCACAGTGAATGGTTCTGGTGGCAGGAGGTCATGAATGAGGCAGAAGCTCCTCTGTTCAACTCTTAGGGTTCCGAGGAACACAGTTTGAACATGCCCTGGCTAGAGCGTCTGGGATCCTAGCCCTCCACTGAAAATGGGCACTGGCCACGCTCCTGTTCACCACCTTCCAAGTGGTTAGTGTAAGAAACTAGCTTGGTAACTAACCTTACCAGCATGGTTATATTCTATAATATGTAAGACTTGGGCCACATCTTATTATTATTATTTTTTTACAATAAAATAAATGACTTTGGAATAACATGTGAAAATGGTTGTCATAACTCTTCCCCTGTGGTTCTGATCTGAAAGCCTGGAGTGGTGCCATGCTGGGAAGAGCTAGAGTTTGGGGACAAGTAGAGCTATTTTCAAATTCTGGTTTGACCCCTATTAATCAGAGACAATTGCAGATGCATCAGTGAAAATCCCTCAGTCTGTTTCTTGTTAGTAAAGTGGGAAGAGTGAAACCTACCTCAAAAGTTTAGATGCTATCTACTCATAAAAGCTCCTACATAAATTAGTGAATAATAATTATAATAATACCGCCAAACATTTTAGAGGTTTTTTTTTTTTTGTGTGTGTGTGTGTAGACTTGTACAACATAGGCTATTTTAACTCTACCAAAGAAGTCACTTATCCATATTACCATTTTAAAAGTGGTATCACTTTGTCTACATGACCAAGTCAACAGGAAGAAAATTAAATGAGGGAAGGGGACCTTTCTCCACCATACTGAACATGTAAGAATGTATTTATTTTCTTGAAATATGTGTTCTCTTTATCTTTCATATTTCCACCGTTGCTAGAGACACAGGTAGAAGACGTGTCTATCTCTTAGCTATTCTAAGATCAACAATGGTCAGAGCACGAAACTGAAAGGCCCTTATCTTTGGCCTTGGTCCTTGGCTGGAGATGTCAGAGGCAGGGACCTGTGGGGGTGGGGAACAGTTCCCAGGGGTAGCTCCCTCTGTTCCAGTCAAATATTGCCATCAGTGGATTCGTGCCCATTGTTTTCCAGATACCATGATACTTTTTAAAAATATGTAAGGGTTGGTGATGTGGCTCAGTGGTAGAGTGCTTGCCTACCATGCACAAGGCCCTGGATTCAATCCTCAGTCTCTCTCTCTCTCTCTCTCTCTCTCTCTCTCTCTCTTACACACACACACACACACACACACACACACAAATAATAATAATAATATTTAAAAGTTAGAAATGCAATTTTTTTGTGAAATCTTTTCATTTTAAAAGTTGACTTTATAGATAGGCAGGTAAGGAGGAGCAGGTTGTGGGCTGAATTAGAGTCTAGTGCGGATGTGGGCCTCAGACCCAGCTTTGAGACGATGCTAGTAGGAGAACAGATGGGTGTTGGTGGGCGTCTTGGGTGCTGTGGGGGGATTACTACTGGAGGCCCAGTCTGCCTACTTCTATTCTGTCCTCCCTGCTCTGTCTGTTGGGACTCCCAAGGTAGAAACAGACACAGGATAATAGCGAGTAGGAAGTAGAATGCAAAGCCCGACTCTTGACCCTCCAGTGCAACCTGGGGGGCCACAGCCTGCAGGCCTCCTTCTCCCCCTGCCCTCCCTGCCCCCCCCCTCCTGCCTGTTCCCACCCCCATGGCTCTGCATCTAGTCCTTGGGACCTGGTTCTCCCAAGTGCCTGCAGAGAGGACAAGGCCCAACAGTGCCCAAGTCCACTCGTTCACTCTGCCACACAGGACTGGAAGGGGCTGTGAAGTGGGGAGAAAGGAGCCTGCCTTCACCGGGCAGCATGCCCACAGACCAATGCGAGGCGTCCCATCTGCGTCTTTGGTGACTGCAACTGGTGAGCAGAAAGGAGAACTGGTCACCTTTCTGTGGGGGTGGATCAGAAGCAAGGGTGGTAGGAGATGCTTCCTGGGGTGAAAAGTGAGAACAACTGTGACCTTGGGTCATTTTATTCTTTAGCTGCTAAGTAAAGTCTTCCTACCAGCCCTGTCACTCTGTCACTTGTGTCTCTAGTCTATGAGCAGGAACCAAGGAGCCGTGCTCCCTGCCTGGTCTCCATCAGCGGGTCCCTTCCCTTCCTCTTCTGTCCTGTTCAGCTGCAGCCGTGCTTTTCAAAGGCCTGCACCCTGGCCAGGAATGACGGCTTCAGGCTAGACTAGACTCCCTCATCTGACCTTCCAACCCCTTTCCCTCCGAGTCTGGTCCAAGAGGCTTTTCCAGGGGTACCTTTGGGGACTGCCCATTGTGTTCTTCTGGGTTGGGTAGGTGGATTTCTCTCCAAGGAGATGCTGATGCCAAACCCGCCAACGCTCCCATGCTCTGCCCCTTTCCTAGGCTGGGCTCCGGAGAGCCAGAGGCCTGTGTTAGGAAGAAGGACTATTGTTACTAGAACCCTCCCACTAAAAAACAGTGGGGTGCCAAATTTTGTGATGACTATAATTACAATAAAATATTTACTTGTCAGAAAGTACTAGAAAGAAATATTCTGAAAGTCACTATATTAACTATATTAGAAGGTAGAGATTGATAGGAGATTCTCTCATTTTATAACATTTTATAAAGTTCTTATATTGCTTTGATAATTACACCAAACAACAGAAAAGTAATGAGTTTCGTTATTTAAATGGTAGGCTCTAGTTGATGAAGAACATCCGTAATAATCCAAATTTAAAATTCTCCAGCTTTATAAAAATAAAAGAGGAAAAATGTCAAGAGGAAGTAGAAGATAAGTAGGCTAATAGATTACTTGCAGGATTTGTGTAGGTTGTCTATGTCAATGGAAGATAAGCATTAAAACTTTCCTATCGATTGAATCAAGAACCTAGATGATAAGCTGCAATCATTTAAGGATATCATTTTCCAAAAAGGAATTTTCCCTGATCTTTCTTACCAAGCCTGCCATTAGAGATGAGCTTTTAAGGTTTATTCTTTTATTTAAAAAAGAAAGGAAAAACCCACTAAGTCAACCTTAAAAAATAAAGAGGGAGAAAGAAAAATGCAGCCTCTGATAGATTGCCCAGTTGAGAATTATTTACACCAAAAATCCTGCCTAAGCATAATTTTTCGAGATGACATGTGCTTTGAAAATACAATGTGATTTCATCTTGAATGTAAAACTGTCTTCTTCTTCTTTTTTTTTTTTTTTTTTGCTGACACCGAGAGATACAGAACCTGCTGATGTAACACAGATGGCAGTGGGTTCAATCAGTCCTGAAGCCTATAAATCCATGTGATATACAGTATATGGTGTAGTATCGAGAAAGACACCATTGATTTATGTAATTGGAAATTTGAGCAATACAGTTTTACTTAATTATGTTTGTTTTCCGCCCTGAGAGCCTGCGTCTCGGACGACTGGGGGAGGGTTTGATTCGCACAGAGCTGCGTTTTCACCCACCCCAGTCCTCCTTTTGAGTACAACGCAGGGTCTAACAGCCTTGTCTTTGTGGTTCGCTGAGTGCAAGAAGGAGCAGTTTGCTGGACAGTGAAGGCAAATCCTGCTTCAAGGATTCATGAATAAAGCTCCAGGAAGGGGGACTGAAACCATACCCAAACCAACCCCAAACAGATAAAAGCAGCTCGCTCCCCAGTTTCCTGAGATTGTTCACGTTTCACGTTTATCTCTTTCTATAAATGGGGATATGATCCTTTATTTTAGAAAGAATACTTGTATATTAGCTCCTCGGGTGCAGAGAAGATGCAGCTCAACACGTTTGTTGAATGGGTGGGTCTCCCTCCGGTGGAATCCTCAGAGCCGGGCCAGCAAGCCTTTCTCAGATGCTGCCTTTGTCTCTCCACTTCCTGGCTGCAAAACCTGCAGAGGCTCAGCTTCACCGAGAGCCCATGTTTATTATTTAGGGTTTGCTGTAATTAGACTCATCTCTGATTTTTCCAGGCTTATCACCTGCTCTCTGATAATCCCTCTTCTTTGACCTTTGGTGACTCACTTCCCTACGGAGGAAGTGCATGCCAGAGGCAGCAGTGGGGATGTCTGCACCCTCCTTAGGGCTCCTATGAGGAGTTTGCACAAGCTTCCGATCACAGAAGTGGTCTCCCTCCACCTGCAAGGGGTCTACCTTCACCTGCAAGTGGTCCTTCCTGACCTGCACACCATTTCTTAACACCCTCCTTGAAACTCATAGCAC